TTAGACTTTTGTGGCATATGTTATTACCTATGTTGGCAGGACTGCAAAAGCAAGACAAAGCGCATGCTGGTGGAGAAGATGGGAACTGAAGCTGTGGAATTGGGGCATGGTAGCGGAGAGGGTTCGCTGGTAGGAGTGGAAGAAAACACGCTTATCGCAAGCTTGTGTGACCTTCTGGAGCGGATCTGGTCGCATGGACTGCAGAACAAACAGGTTGGTATTTCATTTTACTTCGTTGGCTAACGTTCGCGCCCCTGCCTGCGCAGTAGACTCGGAAATATCTTTGAGGATACTTAAAATTTCTTTGTTTGTATGAGTGAAGTCAGTGACATGGCTACTCTTTGGCAGTGAGTTGAAGATGGCTGTCAGACAATTGGCATCATTTCAGGAAGTTACAAATATGTTTCAGCAGTGAACGAGAGGACTTAATCAGTGTTTACTCGAGCTCACAGACGACATTTTCAGCATTTTTGATGAAGTTTCAGTGGAGAGAAGAAGCAGTTTAAAATGTGACATCATGTTGGAAATTTTCAGAAGCAAAAGAGAGCTGTGATTTGGAGAGGAGGCTGTTCAATACTGACAGTCTTGTGAATTTTTTTATTGTTTTCTGAACAGAGTTCACGTTTTCATTGTTTGTGATATAACAAGCATTTCTCCGTTCTTGCTTTTGACAGTATTGAACTTTTAAAACAACATTATCCATCATCTTGAATTTTGTTAAGAGAAATGACAGATCGGAGGGAATAGAAGGATGGGAATATGCCTGGTCCAGTATGGTGACAGACTGTGGTATTGTTTGCAGGGTAAGTCTGCTCTGTGGTCACACCTCACCAACTACCAAGAGCTCAAGGTGTGTGATGACACGTCAAAACCTATCGATCCCAACTTTCTAACGCCAGGTGAGTGATAGTTCTGTCATTATGCCAGTTAAATTGTTACATCTCGTAACAGAACAGACAATACACCGTGACAATCATTATTCAATCTAGTTATAAATATTCAGACATCAAGGGAAAGAATAATTTGCAAGTAAGCATGTGCACATTGAGAAGAAAGGTCAGTAAATCTTAAACCAGGTAGGTTACACCACAACACCAGAAACGCTAACTGTAAGACATGTCAAGCATTGAAGGGCAAAGACTTTATAACGAAAAATAAACATTAATACGAGGCGCGTCCGAAAAGTAAGTTTCCCACTCGTCCCACAGCTAGCAAACCTTATATTGCGCGAAGCGACTGTGCGTACGTGATAGAGCAATGACGTAGCATGGCGCATGCACTAACGGCACTTCCCGCGTTCTCACAGTAGCATCGTTGCAGCTGTTGAAGATGGAGGTTCTTATTCCAGCTCCCGCCGACTGTGAAGTGCGGTCAGTGATAACGCTAGGCCGCACACGACTCGACGGACAGCAAGTCTCCTGCAGAAGTTCAGCTGGGAGGTGTTTAATCATCCACCCTACAGCCCGGACCTCGCTCCCAGTGATTTCCATCTTTTCCTACACCTCAAGAAATTCCTGTCCGGTCAGCGTCAGCGTCAGCGTTTTGAGAATGACAGAGAGGCGGAGATGGTGGTCACACAGTGGTTCCAATCCCAGGCGGCAGACTTCTACGACACAGGTATTAAAAGTTGGTCCCACGGTATGACAAATGTCTCAATTCCGGTGGCGAATATGTTGAAAAATAGCTGGACACTTGCTGTATCTGTTGCAATAAATATTTCCATGAAATTGTGTTTTGGTTCTGTAAA